AGCACATATTTGTCTGAGTATTACTGAGTGTAGAAAAGCTACAAAAGGAAAACCCATTAGAATCTAACTTAATGATGCAAAAGTTAACAATATATTTCGAAACCAACTAGAACTGGAGGTGATCAACTGTGAAAAAGATATCCAAAAGCTGTGGAAGCAGCAGTGTCGTCTACTAATAGCTTAAACCAGAAGGTCAGTAAAATCAGTGGATTTCAGCGGCGTTTACTAAACTGATAGGTGCAAAGAAACTCAACCCGTCTGGATCTGAACACTATGAGGAGCGGAGACAGCTAAGATGTAGGTTGATCGAAAGCCTGCGTAATGATCACTAGCAGTGGTGCGTGGTAAGAGCAGAATAAATGGAAAAGGCAGCAGCGATAGGTAACAGTAGACAATTGTTCGGGGGTACAGCTACTAAAATTCCGTCTGTTAATGAAACTATCTCGGAAAAAGACTGGACTATTATTCATTCTCAATCCAAGTGACTGAACCGATGGGCACTTTGGGTAATAGTCCATCTGACCTACAACAATACTTCAGTTATCCACTACCTCCAGGAAACTTAAATAGCAGCTCGATGTGACCTCTCCAACTCTTAGAAAGATTGAGAAGACTATAAGCAATCTAAAGAGAAGGATAGTAGGAAGACCTGATGGTGGTCTAGTGTTAGCCATTAAATTAACTGAGATCTTAGCTAGAGTTTTGGAACTAGACATAATCCCGTCTGACCGGTCTCGGTCGCTGATCGTCCCAGTTCATAAGGATTATCAGAAAGGAATCAGTTTGGCCAATATAATGTCTAACATATTAGCCTCAATAATAGTTCGATGCCTATAACAAACTGTCATCGGAATCGATTACTTCAACTGGTGTTCGCCAATGTCGTCTTTTTCTTCCATTTTTATGTCACTTTCTCATAAACCTGCCTACTCAAAACGGAAGAGGTTATAAATGTTTAATCCCAAAAGTAATACACCTTGCTTATTCCATTGCTATCCGTCTCTGCCCGTATTTCTGCGTAGGGTTCTTACTCTTCAACACTTTGTACATGTTGTCTTACATATCGACAATTAAATACACTACTATGCAATAAGATTGTAGAACTACGGTCTACTATAACATTAGTGCTGCTCTAATAATAGACCTAATCCTAAATTTGTAGATTTGTCATGATATAACTGCCTAATCTATAAGATCTTACGTGGAAGTCACACCATCGACTACGCCAACTCACTGTATCGTATCAATTACCAATACATGATGTAGAACAAGGTTAGGCTAGAGAAAGAACAATATATTTAATATGAATAGAAGATATAAGATAACATTCAGCAGAGACCACGCCTGCCTGGCCGAGCCAGGCCGTTCGATCAACTCTAATTTATTCAATACATTGTTCGCGCCTTCTCCATTGTTAGGTATTTCTCCGTGTTAAATATTGATTATCTATTTTCCGAGTTGTCTCATGTTCAGCTTTGAGGATTGTGTGGTTATGGTCCAATGCCACTACAAGATCTTATAACACAGCAATAATGTAACAGTTCGTAAGATAGGTATCATGTGACAACTATAGACAGTGTCACAGCTTTTCAATTATTGCACCAGATCACATCGGTTCTGCCACTTCTGATTCCACAGACATTCAGAGTGTGACAAATGTTTCGTCTCTGACACCTGTTGTTCCTGTTGTTATTGCTCATGCTTCTGGCTGCTTGCGGAATTTACTTCCCGGTTCGAACTTGGACTTCTCTCTTTAGTTAGCGGGTCTGGGACGCATCAGAATGGCTAGCCTATTGGTACGTGGTCACAAAGTCTTGTTCCGTTCGCAGACTAGGTGAACTCGTAATCCCATCAAACATAGCAATTAGCACATCAGTTCGACTACTAATAATCGTAGGAATGAAGACACTTGAAAAACTACATTCGAATACAATTTGCTATTGCACGTTATTACAAGGTGCAAGTGAATGTAGGAAGCTTAGTAAAAATGGCGAATATTTTTGATGTACAAAATAAGATTCTGCAACCTTATAAACGAAGTGAAACCAGAGCCAGGGCTAATGGAGTTAAAGGATCAGAAAAACAGCGTGATGGTTAAAAATCTAAGGGGAAGGGTTAAAAAGATCTTAAGTTACCGACCTGAAGTCATAAATTCAATAAGTGTACAGAGATTTCATCATTTAAAGTACCTCTTCCTTTTTAAAGCCGGTTCAAAAGCAACAAGCTGAATACTACATTCAGTTGAATCTGTAAACCACCAACGTAGATGATCTATGTCTAGCGACTGAGGGTCCACTCAAACCAGTTAACTCCGAAGTCCCATTTCGTGGTCAGCTCTTAACGCGGATTACCCCTTCGTCGTATGGCTGCTTTGAAGACCGTATAACACAAAGGATGTTATTACAGAAATATCTTAGTAAGAATGGGTACAGAGATGACGGTACGGCCACCATACGATTGGCCAGTCCGTAGCATAAGAATAACTATTGCGCTTTGGTTGTCCCCGATCCTGAAGAGGATTAGTGAACTTATAGTGGTATTGATCACAACTACACAGTCCCCAAAGCTGAACATGAGATAACTGGAAAGATGCATATTGAACGATCAACACGAGAGAAGATCAACAATAGAAAGAGCGGGAAGAATTAATGAATTAGCTTGGATGACATGGCTCAGCCTCGCAGACATGGGCATTCTGTATAACTTGTCTTTGTTCACATAAAATACATCATCCTACCTTCAGACGAAACGCGTTCTTCAGAAGTACTGCGTTGCTAGATTGAAGCGGTTATGAGTTCACTTAGTATGCGAACGGAACAAAGACTTGTGACCGAAGACCAATAAGCCAGATATTCTGGTGTGTCCCAGATCAGCTAACTAAAGTGAAAAGTCGAAACTTGGAACGGGAAAGTATATTCCGTAAGCCAGAAGCACGAGTGAATGATAACAGACACAAATCAAACGTATATATACAGCATAAAACTGTCCTTGGGAAGCGTTGCAAAAACAGCATACTAAAATACACAACGGACCAATAGTGTTAATGATTCTCCCAAGTGGGAAATACGACGTGAAGGTGAAAGGAGCGCTTTTGACGCTAAAACAAGGAAATTCAAATTTCCAAAATAAAATTACAGAACTAGGGCACTTACCAACGGAGTTCTGGGGATCTAACTTCCCCCTCAAATGTATCATATTGTTACGATAGGATGATTCAGTGTAGACAATTATATGATTTTGGTGGAGTTTTGACCAAACCATCCAGCTCAGAGAACAAAACTCCACCAAAATCATCCACCTGAGCTACAAATCTTCTCCACCATCTCACAATTATGTGACTTCCACGTAAGATCTTATAGATTAGAGAGTCATATCATGACCTATCTATAATCGTGGGACTAGGCCTATTATCAGAGCGGTACTAATAACGAAGCAGACCACAAATCTACAAACTGCTGAACATTCGGTAACTCAGTTGCCGGATGTTAAGCTAGGGCACAGTGACATTTGACTGGCCCTATAGACCATTATATATTTGTTATTATTGTTATTATCGACAAAAATCTTATGAGTACATAAGCACTGTGAAGAAACTATCTCGGATTTCTTCAAAAATGCAGTAATACACAAGTTTCAATAATGTTAGTATTATATTTGCCGTATTTGAAAAAGAGAATAATAATAATAGTATAATAATAAATCAGATTTGTGTGGTTCAGAAGAATATTGAATAGTGTTTTTTAAGAAGGCAAGGAAGAAAATAAGGGAATAGAAATAAAGGAAACGTGAAATACGCAAATAGTTTAATAGGCGTGTTTATGAACACAGAACAGGAATAAACGAATATGTATTTATCCTCAAATTAACAACACGGTAAACATGGTAAACGGTTAACCATCCGACTACTAGTGGTCAGTTATGCAAGGTTAGGATGGGTTTATTTAATTTAATAATGCAGCTACGCTTCCACGACACTTCGCTATCTAGTATATCGTTTCGATCATAAGGCACTGTCAAACATTGATGTCACTCTAAACGTATAGTATCGAAGGTTCCTGACTATTTGTTTCACATTATTTCATAATTAAGGAATATTTGTACTCTATTACCTCATAATATAACTAGTCTACAATATCATGTGAATAGTGTCGTGGCTGGCATACCGATGACAAATACTGAACTTCAGAATAAGATTTCACAATTTAGTCACTAATTCATAAGAAAACTAATGATTTCATGAATGTCCAACTTTATTATCAATGACAAAAAGTCGCAAATGCTCAATAAATGAGGACTCAAATAAGATTTCTGTTTATTGCTCTCCTTGTTCTATTTCGACCACGTTAGGTGTAAACTTCGACACATAATGAACAACCTAACAAAAGTGGATGAATAACCTCATTAAATTCAATTTTAGTGTGCACAGACGAACATGAAAGCTCCAGCACTTAAACTTAAACATCGTTTACCTCAGAACGCATACTTGCTTGTTAGAATCTGAGGTGTTCTTGAACTTTGATGATACTAAGACCTCGAGAGTTTAAGGATGACTTGGAAGAAGATGTGTTTATCAACGGACTAGGGGGCAGGAGTCTAAAATTGATTGCCCAATTAGTTTATCTCGCTGATCAAGGTAATTGCTGATATCAGTTCTATGTCTATTGTTTTGCATAAAACCTGTTCAGACAGAGCTCTAGTGATAAAAATATTGAACAATAAGAAGGGCTGATTAACACTTTCAGTCTGCTCTATGGCTATGTGTGAATCATAGGCTACTCGAATGATGAAAATGTAGATTAGGATAAACTTTAATCCAGTTTGATTACTTCGCCAAGTTGTTAAACTTATTACAATGTTTAGATACGTTCAATGGAAAGAGGGGGTATTAACAAAGTCTACGATACGTTTACATGTGAAACATCCCTATCGGGCGTCAAGAATGGACGTTTCAGAAAAGTCAAAGCTTATTATTATTCACAAACATCATATGGGTACAAAAGATGTCATTTACGACTGCAACTATTCATAAATCATGGTTACAACGTGTCTTAAAAGCTCGTCATGGAAAAAGAGAACTCTCGAGATCCAAAGAAGTAAAGTTTTTGGCCCAACCTCGTGCAACAGCTTTAGGTCTATTATTTAAGCTTAACCATTACTGATGTTGCTAACAAGTAAGGTCTCATGAGCCATTGTGCCTTTGTGTATATAGTATGTTTACTCTGTATGATCAAGGCCATCTGAGAAGCTAATGCATTAAAATGATTAGCTTGTAATTACGCCCACAGCTCTTGCTATGAGTGCCTGTTTTCTACTTTAAACTGTTGACTTATGAGGCATTATCCATTAGTTTACGTATGACTTTCTAGGCACTTTATCTTTATGCTTAAAAAAGAGACTACTTGACACATACCTCCAATCTCTTTCGGATACGTTTAAGGCTTGTTTCCACTGAATATGACCCAGTTTCACAAGAGGGATATTGACCACTATAGAAGTGTTGGTAAAGTTGTGAACTGTCATCAAGATAGTTAGTAATGTGTAATTATTATCAGTTACCAATAAGGTCATAATATACCGTTCATAAATAGCTATAGGTTAAGCTGAAGAGCTTTCTGAAGTGACAAGGATGTACTTCACAGGTGTTGTGAGTATTCTCAGCGTCCATTGTTTGTGTGACAGGGTTTGTAACGATGTTCTCAAGAATTGTTAGACAGTTTCGGTATCCATAAGATGCTTGAGCGACCTGTATAGTTCCAAGACATTCATTTCAGATTTGGTGAGAGTCTCTATTATCATGTTTTTCGAGGTACAGGTTTTCGTGATCCAGAGAAAATGCTAATATACTGGCGCCATTTTTTTAAAGACTACAGAGGGTGGTATTGAACGAGGTGTCGTTACAGATCTTTATGAAAATTCGCTACGAGTATTTGTCTTATCGACAGCATCTTCACATATCTCACTTTAAAAAGGATATCTATCGTCGTGAAAATAATAAGTTCACTGTATTTGTTGTACCCTTGTCTAGTAACTGCTGTTAGGGAATACTTGCTCTATCAAATTCATACACTGTCGATACAAAAAAGCTGTATTTCCCATTTATGAAAAAAATTCTGTTCAGTTCAAACATAAATCTTATGGGACTAGAAGTTGCTGATATTGAATTTCCTAATCTTAATGTTTAACATTTGTTGTAATATACTATCTTGACCTTGTGAAGAGGCACAAAATCGTATTAGAGCTTGTTGTTTCCGTTCTCGATACTTTCCTGGTGGCCATGATGTTCTTGTAAATAAAGGTACATTTCTCGTCTGTAAACATTTGAATGTTAACTTTTCAAGTATAGAGTAGTGGATTTGAAGATTTTAACTTTATTTAAGATACTGGAACAATTACATTAGGAACAACTTACGGGTTGCATACCCGCGAGTTATAAGTAGTCATTCTGTCTTTTTAACCATACTGATAAGACTAACGAATAAATTCTAGGGTTTTACGAAATACCTCACGAGATCGTTAAAGCACATTACCTTTTGTCTGAAAATCATTTTCTATAGATAAACATGCGACAAGCCTGCCCAATCTCTCTGTTTTGAGGAAAATTTTGTCCGTTCTGAGATTTTTGGAACAGGGTACAAAATCCCCCAAAGGTTTGGAAAACTACCAATCGCCATTGATCTTTTCGAGATAACCCCGAAATCGAGAGATTGGGTAGTCTCAAAATTAAATTCTCCCATGTTCTGACAGTTGATATTTTAAAGTGACATCTCTAGTTCAGTTTTCGTCCTCAGAACTACTCTCAAGAAATAAAAAGTACGTAAACTAGTTGAGTGTTTTTCACAGGATTATGTACCCTTCATTGCTAAACATCGTTAACTGCTATAGAAGACCGTAGGTTCTTTAGAAAACTTTGAGAAGATAGAGTCACTTTAAAGACTGAATTTTAACGGTTTATTATGGAAGGTTGGTTATTCAAAAACATTACAGCTTTGTATACTTTCGTGAGAACGTAGCTTGTTTGTTCCACTTGATACATGTAAGAAGAAACATGTAAAATTATGGTCTACTATGATATTAGTATTGCTCCAATTATAGAGTTAATCCTAAAATTGCAGATTTTTCATGATGTAACTGCCTAATCTATAAAATCTTACGTGGAAGTCACATCATCGTCTACACTGACTTATCGTGTCGTAATAGTTACCAATATATGATGGAGAACACATTCAGTCTGAAGATAGAACATGATATTTAATATGAGTAAAAGATTTAAGGTAACATTCAACAAGGACCACGCCTGAAAGACCAGGCCATTTGAAACGTCACGAATTCAAAGAAACCTAGTCTTAAAATGTATGAGTAAATTTTCGTTTAATGCCAATTTAATGAACAATAGAAAAATAAATAGATTTTACGATAGCATTTATAGTGATACATGACTACCTCACCTATGTGCGATTGACGTTATTTCATCAGTCCAGCAAATAATATACGGAGGTAAATACTTCATTTGTACTCAATATGAAGTTTGCTGAATATTACAAATGTGACTTCATATACTCTGTAACTGATGATCATTCCTTTTCAATATTTCACCTAAAAAAAAGGTTCTTAATGAGAAGACCGTAGTCAAATATGAGCATTTTTCTGCTTGATGATGAAGTTCCTATCAAAGCTGTCCGTTGGTTGTATTTCCGTCGTTCTGGTGGAGTAAGTACATGGAAACCGTTTTGTGGATATGATTCAATACGTCTTGAAACAGCTTATCGAGAGCGTTATAACGGCAGCACGGACAGAGTTTACGATAAGATTACTGTTCGTGGAGAGATGTTCGAAGTAGACATGGAAAGTTGCCAATGCATTCCTATATACTGGTTTGGCAAAAAACGATCTGTACATAGTAGAAGAAAAACTTGGTGTTCAACCAGAGTGGTGCGTGCTGTTTGGTTTCAGAAGATCAATTGGTTACCTTTGGATACAAAGTTATCTGAAGTGATTGAATATGAACATCGTACGTATGCTATACCTAAATTGAAAGGAGTTACAGGCAAAAGTCATAAACGTAAGTAATGATTGGCCCATAATTCTGCTGTCACATTTATTTCAGCTGTTCATAAATATCAATCAAACAATTACGAAATAAAATGGATGCCTGATGGTACTGTCTATTTAGTTACTAAAAGTGCAGAGCCTTTCGGTAAAGTTAGATTACACGGAGGATTAAGTGAGTACTTCATTGAAAAATTTTTAAACCGAATACTCTCACCTTAAAGGTAGTGTTCCTATTAGCAGAGGATTTAATCGTCCAGCGGAAACTAGTGATAGACCTCCCCCTATTACTCATGTATGCTTTGTTGTCCATGGTATCGGTCAACAGTTAGCTAGTATACGCCATGAATGTGCCAAGTACGTTTTTCATTTTTCCAATACTTTTTGTCTATTCACGTGACAAAATTTATTAGCTATTAGATTAGATGATTTGATTTATAAAGTCTAATTGTTAGTTGTTTAACGTAGTCGATTTAACCTTTGTTTGGTAATTTATGTGCTTTACTCCACTGACTTGCTCCAGTTGAAAATTGGCTAAAAATTAAGAAGTACTGGATAACTGTCTTATTCTACTATGAGACTAGGCAGTGCAGGTTCCCAAAACTTATGAGGACCAAACCCAGGACCTTCAGGTTTTTTGACTAGCACTTAACTGTAAGATACTTTACCTGATATTCAGCGCACAGCATTTACAACTTTGATCGATTAACCATACTTTTTAATCACTTTCTATTCCCGTTATTTAGTTACCGGCCCAAACCTGACGTGGTTAAACTTCACTGATCACGGTTTCTTACTAGAACTCGGTGAATTAACACCTGACACATTATTATTGTTCACATAGTGAGTGCTTATTGGTTTTCAGTGATTATCCAAATAAAATCAGTATGTATTGTTAACTAGGATACTCAACAAGCTCCACATACCCTTTATAGACGAAAAGGTATTTATGAAGTATAACCTGTTATTCACCTTTCTAATTATACGCATTCATACTGATGTATTTGTTACGTCCTTGGTCTGTTTACCCACTTTTGTGCACAGGATAACTTGTCTAATCTAGATTGAAACCTTGACACGATAGGCTGACTGGCTTAAACGTGATGCTAGTATGCCTGAGTTCGAAGTGAAACCAACTGCTTGGGGTAGAGAGACAAAAGCTATTCTATCATCTGATTGGCTAACAAGCACACGAGTGAGTGGAGACAAGTCAACTGGAACACTACCCCATTTATTCTCCATTCCGATCTGGTTCCCGACATCAGAATAAATAGAACACTAACCAGACCACAACGCACAACAATTAGGAAAATCCAATTATGTCGAAAATTGGAGATTAGTGTAGAAAATAGATTAAAAAATATTACGTTTAAATGACAATAGCTATGGAACAAAATAGGCTATGATAATGAATCATACATTAAACGAAAGCTTATGATTTGTAGAATAGACTAGGGACAAAAATAAATGTTGATGTTTTACAAGCTTTGAATGAAATGAAATAACGTCCCCGAAAAAATAGCTTCCGTAGTTTGTCAAGGCCTCTTGTTTCTCTGTCCACATCAATATTCACCTAAATACATATATGTTTAAAACATTTACTACAAGAGTAACTCACTATATATTTATATATATGTTCTTTTATTTACTTTTTTTCATATAGAATAAGAAAAACATGTCAAAAAGTAGCTGAAAAACTATATCCTAAACTACCTGAAACTGGACAACGACTTGAATTTATTCCAGTGAATTGGCGTAGTTCATTATCATTGAATTCAAAAACTTTAGATAACGTAACTATAGCACAATTAAGACCATTACGTGATTATATAAATCAAAGTTTTGTTGATATTTTATATTATACAAGTCCTGTATATCGTCATGATATTATGCAAAGTTTAAGTTATGAATTAACTAGATTATTTAATTTATTTTGTTCAAAAAATCCACAATTTCTTCAAAAAGGTGGTCAAATCTCTGTACTTGCACATTCACTTGGTAGTGTTATTATGCATGATATTTTACGAAGTACCGAAATTAAATTACCAAATTCATTATTTCATTCATTAGCAGTAAGTTAAAAAGAGTTGTTTTAAATTCGCTAGCTATTGTTTTACTTGTATCTTCCTACTGTTATTTAGGACTGCAATTGATCAGTCTCATGTTGGCATATGTGCATCCTGTGTGGATTGCCTCGACATCGCCTTAAGTCACAAACGTTTTAAGCAAAGATGGATTGTAGCTAGCAGTGGAATCCAGGACGCACATTTTGTCCTGTTTGGGACTCGTCCGATGGATGTACCTGCATCCCAGAGTTGTTCACTCCAGGACTCGAACCCAGCACCGTTCTCTTCAAACGCCATTGCGTTATCCACTTAGCTACTGAGTCGTGGTAGCCACCTGCTTGTGCAAAGGGGTGAAGTTTAAATTCACCTGGTGTTGTTTTACTTGTATCTTCTCATTGTTATTTAGGAATTCGATTGATCAGTCTCGTGTTGACATATGTGCATCCTGTGCGGGTTGCCTCGATGCAGCCTTAAGTCACAAGCTTTATAAGCTTGTTAATGTTAATGTTTACTGATTAACTCGAAGTCATAGTGCTTAATAATCATTAAAAAAGGGAGATTTTATCCATGTTTCATTATTTTCATATGAGAATCCCTGTAATGATATAAATTAATCTTTGATAAGATATATGAAAAGTTGAAGATGAAAACTGTCGTAATTCTACCAAAAATTAAGTCCAAAACGTTTAAGATGTAAAGCTTTAGATTTTCGATCCGAATAACGATAGCTTCAGTCTTCTGCAAGATTCTCAGTCTGGCAGAATTAGGTAGACTGCTGTTAACACGATATATCATTGCGAAAGATTGGTCTTACTTTTTATTTTATGGTTTACAACACGAACCGACTCAAGTTATATCATCATTAGAAACGAGGAAGCATCAGACAACTGAATTGTCCTATTCTGGGATTCCTTAGCAGTGGTCTTAAGACCACTGGGGCAGCATCAAATCGCTTACATGCCTTGCTTAAATCTATTAGCTAAATTGAGTCATTGTCAGTGTTGGGCGACTTCCCCACCCTCGACGTATAATAGATCCCCGAAAGATTGTGATGGTTAGCCTGTTGAGGATCGCCATGTTAGGACGGAACAGTTGTCTAGTGCTTCCTGGTTTTCAATGGTTACTTAAGTAATTTCAGTCTGTGATATAAGCTTTAAGTCGTAATCGATATCATGTTGACCAAGGGATTCAAACGTCAATCAGGATAAAAGTCAGGAACTATTTAAGACTAAACGAATTGCTCCACAATTTCGTGTCATCCAGACTAGCATCCACAGAATACAAGATTTATTTAGCAAATTTGTTATAACATTTTATCAAGTAATACAATATTTAACTAAAATCCGCTCTCAACTAATAACTACCAGTCATTCTACAGATGATATACATTGTGATGAAGAGATTGTTATATCCTGATGAAAATAATAAGTGATAACTGTTGGAATCGATGTCTGGAATATTACTATACATATTTTCTAATTGTGTAATTGTCAAGTAACTAAACTATACATATTCATGTCTCTCTTATTATGAGCTTTATTTTGACCTATGAACTATTATTATACGATTTATCATTATTGAGTTATGCCCAGTCTATTAATCACCACCTCCCTTATTCACAGCCACATTTGGCTTAATCTTGTACAAATGTTGTTTTCTATTTTATCGTACGATGTGGT